CTCACCTATCCCAAATTACATTTGAGACTCCTTATTATAATTATCCGATTCACCTCTCCATGTTTAAGATATAATGTCCATTAATTAATTCGATCACTAATAATCAAGAATTAATTAATATATTATATTACCGAAGCTAGCGCTCGCTCATAGCATTCATATTATGCCGGAATAAATAATCTTTGGAATCTAGAAGGTCATTTAGTCAGTTAATAGAGCGGGACTTTTGTGAAACTTATTGGAGCTGCACTTCCTCGGTTCGCGAATGAAAGGGTTCAAATTCCACCCGATCAGGATGGATTTGGAAAATGGTCGGTTATCGGCTGCTCGTTTTGGGCTTTGCTTGAGGTGGTGGTCACAAAAAAGGGGGTCACTCAAGTGTACGACATTCTTTATCCGTCCAGATCGCGGTACATGTTCGGACTGCTCTGGATTGTAGAGGAACACTGGCTAGGAACTCACTTTGGGGACATCATCATACTAACGCACATGGTGACCGTAAATATCCTAATAGCACATCGAACACAATAATGTCATTACCCAATTCATTAAGTATGTCGACCCGGCTTGGATCTCACCCAAAGAATCAAAGCAACAACAATTATGTGCACATGCCTATTTAATATCTTACGGGTTAAGAGCACGCAATAATTAACTGAGGCCTAGTTCGTTTACGATGATTAGTATAAAATGAACATCCCTCTCTGGGATCCTGTTCAATACATAAATGTGCTAGTGCAACTAATCGGTCAAGACAAATCGCACGGTTGACACTACAACCGTTCCGATGGGTTGTTCAATTCCATCTAGGTTGTGAACCAATGATTCTTATTTCGCAAGTAACTAATATAGTGATCTTCGGTACGCCCGATGACGACCCACTTATCTACATGCAAAACAACAGAACGTGAAACTTATTTAACCAAACATAATTCTCATTCATCAAAAATTAACAAGTGTAATATCTACTAAAGCAAAGCTTAAGTATATAACACAAACAATCTCT